CCCCAGCTCATTTCCAGCACAGCAGTAGCACAAACTCTACTCCACATTATCCAAGTGGGTGGGAAGGCTGCCACTCGGAAACTTCAMTGTGGGCTTCAAAAAACCAAAGGGCATCAGTAAATTGAGACAAAAGCTCTATGGTCATATTCTTTAGATTTATACACCATGTGAAATAAAAGCTCTGTAGGTATGGATGTATGTACCTATATTTAGCCAACTTGTAAAACTGAAGTAGGACACTACCAATTAAAATTCCACTASAATTTTTGGCCACACTCACTGTATCTGCCCTCATCTGCATAGGTGCAAAGCTTGGGTAATACCTGACTGTCAGCAGGGTTTACTGTAGGCAATACCACTTCTACAATTTTGATAGTTGACTCAACACAGAATCATGATACTACCTAGTGCCACGAAACCACTAAGTATATAGGACAAGGATCAGTTATCACTTCAAGRGGCCTTGGGTCTAATCCAGGATCTCTCTCATTTCTAGCCCTCCTCTTTCCAACTGCTCTGATTTTATCAAGGGCCAGCATCCTACTGCTTGCCTTCACAGCACCTGCAGTTCACAGCGGTGGTASAGTTGAAAATTCTCCTTTTCCTCCCACTCCACTGGAAGAAAAGGCTACTAAGCTCAACCCTCTCCCTCACCCATTCCCAGACTTCTCATRCACAGGAGCTCAGCTCTGTTCTTGCTCTTTTACTGAGCAGGAGAGCAGCCAGCTGAGTGAACGTGGAAGCACGAGCTGTTKTACAGCCCTTCCACCGTTCTGTGCTGAAGCGCCAAGCAAATACCACTGCTTGATTCTGCAGAGAGCCAGATTTCCCACACTTGGTTGCATAGAAGTCTAGTTTCACAAATATTATTTGTATCAACACCTAATAACTTTAAAACTCTACCTAGGAAATATTTCTGGGAAAACATAACCCAGGGCTGCAGGACAGGATGGGATCTACCTGGCTGGGGAGCAACTCCATGAAAAGAGACCTTGGAATCCTGGTGGACCATAAACTCAATATGAATGACCAGTGTGCTGCTGTAACAAAAAAAAAAAAAAAAAATAATAAAGCCAACAGGATGCTGGGTTGCATCAGCAACGGTATCACCAGCAGAGATAAAGAAGTCACTATCATATTCAGTGCCTGTCAGGTCACACCTGGTCACACACTCAGTTTTGGTCACTGCTATACMAAGGAGATGTGGACAGTCTAGAGGGGTCAAGAGAAGGGTCACAAAGATGATCAGAGGCCCTGGGAAGCCTACCCTATGGCTGTCTGAAAGAACTGGGTCTGTTCAGACTGGAGAACAGAAGGCTTAGGGGAGACTCTGTCATGATATTCCAGTATTGAAAGAGTGGCTACAAAGATGGAGACTCCTTTTTTTAGARTCACATGAATAATATGAGAGCTGAGGGTACAAGTTACTCCTGGGGAAGTTCCAGTTAGACACGAGAGGAGAATTTTTCACATTGAGAACAATCAGCCCTTGGAACAGTCTCCCCAGGGAAGTGGTAGATTCCCCAACATTGGACAATTTTACGATTTGGCTGGACAGGGTGCTGAGACATCTTGTCTAGACTGTGCTTTTGCTGTGAAAGTTTGGACCAGATGATCCTTGAGGTTCCTTTCAATCTGGTATTCTATGAACCTATGAAATCACAGTATTAGCAACATGTCAATATATTGTCCATGGCCCAAGATTTGCTTCAAATCTGTACCAGTGTCCATACCAGTCTTGCTCCTATACTACAGTGACTCATGGAACAGCTCATACCCATCACAACAATGAATTCTAGGCTGCACTTGAGCCAAAATGCTTGGTTTTGATGATAAGAATATAACCTAGAGATTAAAGATGAAGACCAGGCCATARGAAAGTAAATGTCAGGAATACTTAAGAGAAATTCCTGAAGATCTGGTGATAATATTGACTGTATTGTCAGTAAAGGCACTATCATAAGTAAGTATTGGCAATACTTTATCTCCCCTGCGTATCTGCTGGATGGGATGGAGGGTGCTTAGAAATAGCACAAACATGACCATTGMTAGATGCTTGAACAAACCACTTTACCAGGGCAATGCATGTCCTAACTRACTCTGAATATGGCAACAGACGAAAACAGACATCTAAAGGCTGCATCAGCAAYCCCCATTCCAGTGCTCACACCTTTACAACACTTTTCTTAAAACCAAACACCTTCATTTAAAACCAAATAAAAGCAACAGATCAGGACAGCAAAAGCACCATCTTCTATTAAGATGCAGGCATCAATTGATCCCAGGAAAAACATTACAGTGCACTTTGCATTTTACAAAGAAACAGGACACTGTTGGAGCATGATTATTTTCTTCATTGGGGTCTGTATAATCAGATGTGAAACTCTCACTCACTGAGTTGTGTCATGCACTATGTAAACCTGCAAAAGTAGGTTATAACTATAAATATGATACTATTTCTAAATGATTTATTGTTCCCTCAAACTGCTCGCAAGACAACAGTTTGATTCTACTTACTGACCAGCTGATGTCTACCTATGACTTACCAAAACAAAAATCCTAGGTCTGTGTATCTCCTGAATTATGTAGGTATCTTGAACTTCTGAATACAACTTATTGCTGTAATAAGCCAATCCAAAAGCCTAGGTGCAGTCCAAGCAAGGATTCACACCCCTGGTGCCAATCCCATTGACTGCTGGAATGGCAATTTTGGGAGCAAAGAGTCTCTTTTGTGTTTGTGACAGTGGTTGTGTTACAAGAARTAATTCTACATAGTTAACATAATGTAACTATGGTTTAGCACTAATTTTATGTTGTAGAAGTCTATTGCTTGTACATGTTATATAACAATTATAAATATATATATATATATATATCAACAATTCCACAGCCTCCTATATAAAAATCAGCTATTTGTGTATTAACCAAGCACAAGCACTGCCTAGCTGCTGAAAAGAGCTCTAAGCAATGAATAGAATGCCCAAGCCCTAGGTGGAGTGAAACTTAGGAACATTTAGATTAGATTTCTTTCAAATTTATTTTACATGTCCTACAGCTGTCACCTTTGTGTTTTTAAGGCATCTTAAATTTCCACATTTTTGCCCCATACAACCATCTAATGTTTAACTGAGGACTAAAGAAGTCAACATTAGGTAGCTTCCTAGGTTCAAGCACTAGGTTTTATGATAGTATCCACCTCCAAAACCTACAGCGTTTCTGCTATCCATGTTGAAAATATATTACACTATTTTTCTCCCRAATTCTCAAAAGCTACCCTTAAATGGAGGTCCAGTGTTTTCCATAGGTTTTATACGTTCAAATCAGAGAAGGGAAAAATCCCACTTTTGGCTAGTGAGTCTATTCTGCATATTGCACAGATGGAGTGAAATTATTTTGTGGTATAACTGATAAGGAAAGTTAATCACTAGATAGAAATTGGTTGGAAAATAGATTTAAATGGCACAGCAATATAACTTGCCTTACTTGGTTGCCACGGGCAATGCAACAAAAGTAGCACTCCTGAGATGCAGAGATGTTTATAGCAGGGAAAACAACACAGAGACAGACATGCTGAGGTCTCTTTATCTGATAACTTTGTGGTAATTGCCTTTCATGCCCTGTGGCATGTAGGATGCACTAATTTGGCATTCAGTGAGTACAGCAAAAAAGAGCAATGCAAACAAAAAAGAGTCGAGCTCTACCCTACTGCTTTACCTTACAGAATTACCAAGGCACAGCAGTACTGGCATTGTCACAAAGTCTGAGGTAGGCACTTCTATGAGCCAACATCATCCTCTTCCTAGAGTCCAGTCTCATTTCCATCAATGCATATGACTGATTTCATCAGTTCTTTCCAAGCAGCTCTGCTGTGAGGTCTGGTTCTATTTGTTGGCTGAGATTTTACCCTTGGTTTGAACCCCAGCTGAATGGTTATAGGCCTTTGTTCCTCTTGTCCAACTGTCTGCTGATGTCTCCTACACTGAAGGTAGGGAGTTTTCAAAAACTGTTTCTATCAGAACCAACAGGAATTTTGCCTCTGATTTTAATGGGTTTAGAACTTGTCTCTGTTGCCCTTTCCTCTCTCTTCACCACCTACTGCATAGAAGCAAAGTCATCAGTATTGCTGAGCATAGCTCAGTTCCCAGGCACCTTCCTCTGTCAAACAGGTTTTTTAAATATTCTTAATTTACATTTGAGGGTTTTCTCCTGTACTTTTTATACTGACAGTCTCACCTCTTAAAAACCACATACAGCTGTGAGTATATGTGTTCCCTCTTTCTCATAATAGCTGACCCCAGAGACAGCAAGCCTTTATTACTAACTGCAGGGAAGAATGCACAACACTACACTCTACCTGACACAGCTGCAGCTCCTCCACATCTGCTTTACAGCCACTCATTYAGCATCCAGACTCATCACTTCACGTAGTTTAATTGTGGGAAAATAGTAACAAGGACAAGAAGAATGAAAGAATAATGGACAAAGGTACACATACAGGCAGACACAAATACRCAAATGTGGCATATGCTCGCTAATTTTTATTATTTATTGTTTATAATCTAGCCATATCCTTTGCCACAGTCCCACTAAGAAAAACCTTACCAGTGTACTTACTGTTTCACACACACAGTGGCCTTTTTCACAAAGATTAGGCAGCAGATGCCAGTGAGACTTTGTATTAATAAAGCACTGAGGAAATAATTAGTAATACATTGATTCTTTACATCCTTGGGAATTTGCTAAGAGAAGCCAGGATTGAACCCTACAGAAGGTAAATTCAGCTCCCATTGCATGCAACACAAGTTGTTCACATTTTCACAAGGGATGAGTTGTATGCAGAGGGTTTGGTGGTTATGGTTACAGCAAATCAAGTAAGATGCAACAGATGCAATGAGAAATGGTTGGAAAGCAGCAAAGATAAAGTCCAAGGTCTAAATGCCAGGTTTGCATGTATGCCAGCTGCTCTGCAACTCAGGAGAGGCAGGCAAACAAATACTTACCAGGTTTTATTTCCAGCAGCTTCAGCCTGGAATCCTCAGGGGGATGCAAACGCCTCTTTTTGCGCCAGCAACGTGCTGGGTATGTGTACAGCTGACCTGGGGCCAAGCCTGAAGATTAAAGGCAAAAAAATAATCACATTTCAGTTCATAAACCACAAGCACTGTCTCTAGCATCTTTGTTCTTGCCCTTCCAGCATCTCCTTGTTGGAAGGTTCAGTCCTGCAAATCATGAGGCAGAGCTTCACACTCAAGGCATCCAGTGCTCCTGAGGCTCCTCAGCACSTCTTGGGATCAGGCCTACAGAGAATCTAGGTCTCACTTAGACACTTCACTCAGCTCACTGAAACCAGAGCTGCACATAAATAATTTGTGATTTCTTCAGGGTAAATAGAATTTCAGACTCTCCTGGGTCACAAGGGCGATGCCTCCTCCACAAGGAGAGAGAGCCCCTTGAGAGAGAAGAGATGAAGTTCTGACATGCATATCTTGAGGCYCTGATGCACAGAGCAGCTCAGCAAATTTGTGTTCCAAATGGGAGCAAACCAAGATCCAAGAGGTCTGACTCCATATTTTTGCTTAAACTCTGGACTTTTGCTTGAATAGCAATTCTTCGTGTGGAGTCTTACCTCCTTGTGCCAATATCCCGAATGAGATASAGTAATGTTTATATCATTGCATGCTCCCTTAAATCACATTTGGCATCGCTGGGTTTTGAGCTGCCCTGGCTCTCCTGACAGACACCCTTGAGCCAGTGCTCGAGCTGTACTTTGCTCTCTTGCATTCAGGACACAGCAGGGCTTAGTGAATGCATCACTACTAGGGGCACAGAAGCACACTGACAAGCGCTTCAAAGTATCCTCAACTGCCCCAGATAGTCACGACACACAGAATTACCCAGCAAGACACAGAAAGTTAGAGGAATTTTATTCTGCCCTCTCAGTCCACCAGTTCTGCTTTGGCTCTTAYGCCCTTCTGCTGTTGCTCTTGTCTTGAAGGGGCTACAGAGCATGACTGCAATTTCAGACTCATTGTTCTCAAAAACCAGATGAGACCATATAAGAGAGAGGACAGGAGTGGTGTTACTATATCTGAAACTGTACCAACAGTGAACAGCTGGACAGCATCAACGGGGTGCCAGGAAAGCAGAACAGCTCAAGGGCAGGAGGATGGCCCAGGAGCTTCGTCCTCTCTTCTGAAGCAGCCAGGTGAGAATCGTAGCTTGGGAACAAAAGTGACTCACCAGACCAAATGAGGATAATGAAAAAAAGCAATATCCTGTTACTTGGGGGTGGGGAGGAACACGGAATAACATAATTCACCTCGAGGGAATGTACTAATCAAATTCTGCAAGTCAGACCTAGGTTCCTGATTTCAATATTTCAACTGTTAGGAATGCCAGTTCAGACCCCAGCACTTTCCACCTACTTCCAAGTAGGCAAGTGATGGAGTATCTGCASAGACCTGGCTTTTTCAGGGCACAGAACGCTATTGTGCCCAATCCCAAGAAAGATATATTTCAGAACGGGTTGATTAAGACCACTTTGGGRAAAAAAATGTGAATAACCAGCACTTATACARTGTTTGGACATCCTTCTTCACGTCACTTTGCAAGCATTAASCACCGCTGTAATGATTAACAATTAACCAGTTGCTGTAATGATGAGGTGGATTGTGCCTGGCTCTGATGTGAGTATTAAAGATGTGGAGGCAGGAAGCCCTGCCCTTTGGCAATGGTTGACCAAAGCAATGGAACAAACAATCAGCCCTCCATTGCACAGGCTTCCACAGAGGAGCCATTTGAAAGAAAATGCACCACAGCTTTTGTCCCACACAGAGAGGAGCAAGGATCTGCTGGTTTTGGGGGAGAATCTACTAGTGTGAGTGCTCTTACATGGAAGAGGAGTTCTGGATACAACGAAAACCAGCTACACATGCTGAAAGCCTAACTAGAAACTTGAAAGGAGAGAGGTGGGAAATCTTCTTCCTTAGAGGGTGGCAGGTAGATCAATAACAGACAGATGATCCAACCTCCACCTCTGCACTCCTTGAGGTAAGCTCTCTGTTCCTACTCACAGCTCACCTGTTCATTAATATACTGCCATCCAGTGAACTTAAAACATATACCAGACTTTCACTTCATTGAACCCATCAATGCTACCTTCATTTCTCAGCACTGCTCCCCATCTATCCCTGTGCTGGTTCACATGAAGTGTAGATCTTACACAAAGGAGAGGCACCAAGGAAAAGGTCAGTTCTGAATGCTTTGAATGTAGTACCTTCACAGTCGATCTTGCCGTGAATATGGAAATAATGCATATTACTGTCTTCAGTCCTCGGTGGGTTGTGTCTCCCTCTGGTACCTTATAGGGCAACCAGAGAAGGTTCCAACCATTTGCTTACAGAGGAAATAGCAGAACCTGCAGTGAGTTATGTTGTTTATCTCATTAGTGTAGGAGAGTCATAACTCAAAGCTCGTGTGAAAGGCCAGGGGAGGAGGGGAAAGGAGGGAGTTATGTGCAGTATTGTGTGAAATTAACCCTGAACTGTTTATCATGAGATGCAGATTTCTGACTTCTTTAACAAAGAGGACAGCAAGAACTCAGGTTTATCCGCTGAGTTCCTGACTCTCCTTTGTTTTCCAAGCCTGTGAAAGTGAAAAGAGGTCCTGGAGCTTTGCCATTTTTTTCTTTTCTTTTTCCAGGTTAGGGACAGTGAATGGTAGTGAACACAGCACACAAGACAGATACCAGGATGGCTGGCAGAGAATTTTCAAAGCCCTTTAGTATGGGCATGAGTGCATTGTGTACAGACCAGAAACAGGCATGCTAAAACTGTAGAGGGATGCCTTGACTCACCATAATACTACAAGAGATAGATTATGCAAAGACACTCAAGGGAGCAGTAAATGGGCTAATAAAAACCAAGAAAGAGAAAAGCAAATATGGGGGAGGAGGGCTGCTTCATTTCACACTGATTATTCTAATTCAGGGTAACAAAGTCATCAGATTTGGTGGCGAGTGCAGATCCAAAAGGCTCCTTTCACTTCACTTCACAGAAACTCTCTGYGAAGAATGTTCCAACATTAATCTCCAGTGCAGATCTGCAGGAGAAATGTCACTGATCCCCTTTTGCAGAGCAATCTGCCAAACAGCTCACTATTAGAAGTGAGGAAGGAAAGATTTGCAGAGAGAATTCGCTCACGGTRGTCCACAGAGCTTGTGGCTGAGACAGGCAAAGCATTAAGATATCTTGGTTCCTGTTATGATGCTATAACACATTTATGATGATTCCCTCTGCAAGTGCACAGACACCAATGAAACCCACACAAGRCTATCTATGTCTATCTCTGTGGAAGACACTGTTGACAAAACATTACTTATGAATATAGTGGATGTGTATCTGCTTGTATATATATACCTTCCAACTCTGTTCAGAAGGATAAAAATAGCAGCACCTTACTCATAACAAGATGCTACAAGAACAGAAATTCCATGGGTAAATGGATTAGTCAACAAAAAAGAAAAAAAAAAAAGGAAGAAACCTAGTTTTGCCAAAGCATAATCTCTTAGGAATGGGGAATTTTCAGCTCAAATGAAAAACTCAACTGTGTTTATGAAGCAACCCTACAAAAGAAGGGTAAGTCCAGAAGTTCAGACAACTCCCATCTTGTGAACCACATTCATCAGTCCTGAATTACCACACCAGTTTTGGTGGCTGAAATATTCTTAGCATATTTTTAACGCTGTTAAAACACCTGTTGTCTTCTGCACCAGAAGTGGCTGCATTTTACTATAGAAATTTCAGATCAACGATTTGAGGGGTTTGAGGGTGAAGGTGGGAGGATGTCAATATAGTTTAGACAACTGGCAGGTATTCATGCACATGCGTGCATGTCATACTTTCAGTGGCCATGTACCCTAGGTCCCTTCCTACCTGGATTCTCTGGGCTGCACTAAAGGAAAAAAAAAACCCAAAAAAAAAGAAATTTGGTTTGGTGCGGTTAAAAAACTGTTGCCTGAGACAATGATTGGTCAGATACTGAGCTACAACGTAGCCAGATTTCCCCTGGGGTTCAGAAGGACTTATGTCTGTGAAACATCTCCACTCTTGCAACTGGTGACKGTCCTTCCCCTTTTAAAAAAGGATTTCAGATGGATTTAGTCTAACAAAGGAACAACTGACCAAAGTCTATAAAACTAACAGTGCTCTTTTCCCTTGAGCTTCACTGAGCTTTGGAAAAGGCATTAGCCAAAGCTCCTTAAGGAAATACACGGACTTCTTTCTGTACCCAAGGGAAACACAGCTCCCGGTAGAGCTGATATCCAAGTTAGCTTGCAAAAAAGCAGAACCAGGATTTGTAGGTGTATTTCTAACCATCAGAACAATGTTCATTCCATTAACTGGACTCTCCTATACTTTACTTCGGTTTTATATCCTTCCCAATATAGTTCCTTATTTTCAGCATTCATCTGAGAAACTCCTACTTCCACCTAAGAGGTAATTCTAGTCCTGCTTACAGCAGAGCATTGAGTCTTCTGCTGCAGCCTGGGATCGACAGCATGGAAAGAGCTGCAATGATGCAGCCTTAGAAACTACCATGTCAGGCACTTCTTTGCGTAGAAAGAGAGTAATTAGCATGAGCTCTCTGCCGTTACCAAAGGAAATCCCCTGCAGGCACAGAGGTTTAGGCAGTTTCTCTTGTGTGTGGCCTGTAGCAGGTTTGAGCTCCGGTTAATTAAACCCCACGAGGGCTCAGTGGCCAGCCCTCCATACGTGCACACGCATACACAGACACAACCACCACCAACCTGGTCCCCTGTGCCTCTTCTCCATCCAGATGTAGCAGTTGTTCTGAGCCACCCCAGTTTGCGAATCCAGGAAGGGAAGGCGGACGCTGCGCTCGGCGCAGAGCCGAGAGTTGTAGCTGCGGCAGTGCTCAATTGCTTCTTTGTAGAACTGGTCCCCGAGTCTGCCAAAAGAGACAGCACACACAGTGAGAATGAGTGCATTGCCCCCTCCAACAGGAGTAGGGAAAGGGAACATGAGGTAGGTTTGAAAATGGGCAAGCAGAAAAGCTTTGCCTGGACAGGTACACAAGTTGGTGACATGAGACACTGCTGAAGCAGAYCATGCAGAAAATGATGTCAAATTAACAAAAAAAATCAGGCTGTCAGGAGCCAGACATGGATCTTTTCAGTAGCAGCATGGCTACTTAATGAGCAAATGATGCAATCACAGTGGCCCACGACCCAGGGTCAGGCCCGTGTACACCACAGTGAACTCATTTGATTGTTTCTCTTCCCCTATAGTTTGTTCAGCCCATATTCAAACCAGTCATTTCAATCCCATGTTACAGCAGCTACTGCAATATGTTTTAAGCAACCAGAAAGCCAGCCAAGTTTAGAAGAACTTTGCTTCAGCATTTCTGGTGTCGAGGAGCCCATAAGAGCAAAGACCACAGTCCTCTTATTGTATGCTTCTGAGGCATGAAAACACACCCCATAATAACTACAGTCATATCTGCAATGGCCAGACTAGATGTTTTGTCATAAGCCTTCCAGAGTTTTCCACAGTGAAGCCTGAGGTGCCAAGAGCACCAGGCTACAACAGCGACCCAGTTGGGCAGGGCAAATGTTGCTTTTCTCTGGTGCCCAGCGGAAAGAATAGTTCTAAAGACAATGTCATTTATTTCATAAATAACTGTTCGTTCAAAAATTCTTTAGAATCTTCATCTTCCCTTGAGAAAGGTTTTAAAACTCTGCCTGCTGGAGATTACCAAAATCCTCCCTCCAAATTTCTCTAAACAGGGAAAAGCATCAAAGTAAAGCTACCCTGAGGACACAGCGCAGCTGTCATTCTGGAGCATTGCAAAGTAGGTGGGCCACACTGCTGAACTTCGTTCTTGATCTATTGTCAAGGTGAAATTCAGTCGTGACACGAATAGCTAGGAAAGCTACCTGTTAGGGGYAAGTTCATTAGAAAACAGGAGCAGAGTGATACATAGCATAACTTGCTCTGACTCTGATATTCATTAATGTGCGAAAAGAGTATACCACATACAGCAAGTCAGCCAAAGGGATGCATGTACAGAGATAAAAGGGCTCCCTTTCCTGTCCTATTAGTTGTTTTCCCCACTATCCTAGTCCACAGGCACAGTTGGCATTTTAAAATTTTGCCCACCTCTGAATGTCAAATCAGTGCAAATTTCTCTGTTTTACCATCTGTATCTTTATTGTGACTCACATCTTTTAAGTCACTCACTYCTCAGTTGTACCTTACGATTTACATGGGAGTCAAATTCCTTTCATCTTGGCTATGCTGGACCAATATCCTATTGTTGGCACAGGCCAAAAGCAGMGGCTTAGAGAAGAGCAAAAATTCAGCAAATACCAAGGGAGGCACTTCCAGTTTCCCCTTCTCAATTCTGATGATCAGAACTTAATTTACACAAGTCTCAGGGAGATTATGTTTAACAGACCGCGAAGAATCTTCCTTCCATGAATTTACTCAATCAACTCTAGAGCCCACTGCTCTTTGGGCATGGGCAGTGATCGTGCCCAACATYGTGAGGCAATGACTTCCACAGCTGAAATACGATTCACATGGAAAAAAAGCATTTCCTTATGCTTGTTTTAAGCCATATCTCAGTTATTTACAAGTCTATGTCTCTCACAAATCTCCCACCAGGTAATTTCTCTAATGAGAGTATAGCCAGCACACAGAGTCCCTGGATGGGGAATGAGTACCATGGGTGGATGCTGGAGCCCAGCAGCTTCCTGCTGCCCTCAGTCCTCTAACTTCAGCTGCCACATTTCACAGCATCCCCAGGGGAGAGAAGGAACAGCCCCTCGCAAGTAGAAAATGCACAAAGGAGTCAGAACATCCTTTGGCTACAGAGACTTCCTGCGGGTTTTTCAGAGGTTTTGTGCAGCGTCTGTGTGAACRTGGTGCCTCTCAGACCTGTCCTCCCCTGCTGACCACCAGCTCCTGGGCAGCTGCCAGCGCAGGGATCTTTGCAGGGCAGCTGAAGGAGAGAGCTCTCTGGACTGTGCAAGCGAGTGGAGGGCACAGCCATGGGCAGAGCGTGTGCAGCAGGATCCCTCCGGACACTGAATCCCTGCAATGACCTCAAACGCCCTTTTCCATAAAAAGGCGGGGGGGAGGGAAGGGGAGCACGGGAGAAAGGAAAAGATAAGCTGCACTACTATACAAAGAATGTGACTAGGAAGAAATGAAAGCTCATTAAAAGCTGTAATTAAAGTTGTACACTTGTGTAATCAAAGTCAGTAACAAGGAGACCCCAGCTGATCAAAGATTAACAGCTCTTTCCACAAACACTTGGGCTTCCTCAGAGCTATGTCAGATTCCTTCTATATTAAACCAGGGATACTCTCTAACTCCAAGGAGTTTACTGCAAAGAAAAGCATAGCTGTATGACAAAAAACTGYCACCACTCTGTAAGTCTTCCTTATGCCAAAAATCACTTCAATCATTAGAATATGCACACCACAAAACATCYGTATTAACAAGGACAATACATCCCAGCAACCCAGATACAGGAGCTGACTGGAGTGTGCTTCAGTTTCCACCTTGCTCTGAGACTGAAACTAGGTCTTCAAATGTAAAATATTTGGCTTTAAATCACACTGTCATGTAGAGTAAATTTCAGATTTTTCCAAGAGGGAGAAAAGGGGTTTTGAGATTATAATGGCAGGGAAGCTATAAAGCTAATGGGTTAAAATCACTCTTGACAAAATCTTGCAATCTAGCTGTTCCTTTACGTTTATTTTAAAGATTTTTAAAATGCATTTTTTTCCTTACCAAAAAAAAAAACCAAAAAAAACCAAAAAAACCAATTTAGAAGTGTCTGGTCACTTCCATATTTTAATAAAGCTTGCCTTGGCTCCAATACAGCAAGCATGATCAAAAAAATGCAGTTTTCTAAGTATTCACTGGAAAGATATTCAGATACTGAGACCTTGAGGAATTTCCCTGGCCTTAAGTATGAATGAACTTTTTGTTTTAAAGTGACAAAAAAATCAAATARTGGAAAGTAAAGAAACAGCTTTTCCTTATGACATTGATATGACAATGGTAAACAGCTTCCCTGAAATTACTTTTGGATGCCCAGTTGTTTTGTTTTACCATTAGTCTTTATTGGAGGGATTTTGACTCATTCCAAACTTCAGTTATTTTTTGTAAGGAAAAACAGAAAGTATACTAAAATCAAGGCAAAAAAGGGAAAGTATGATCRTGTTGTGTTCATCACTGTGGAGTCAGGGAGGTGGGACAAATCCCAGCTCTCACCCAGGAGGTTTACAATGGAGTTRGAGAACAGACAAGGGTGGGAATAAGACTGGAGAGCACATGAGCTCAAATGAAACTCAAACAGATCAGTAGAGTTTGAGTTAGGGAGACACAAGAAGAGAAAAAAATGAATACTATAAAGTGTATCGTATGTCAGAAAAAAAAAGATTAATTATCTGTTACATGCCTCAGAGTTTTCCCAAACTGTGTTGCTATGGAAGACTTACACTCCAACTCCTGAAAAAGTATCTGTAAAAACTATGGGGAATTTCTGCACTGTTTTTATGAAAAGTATGTATGAGTCAGAACTGTGCTGTGCTGTGCCTGACTGCAAGGGTCAAGTCTTCCCTTTGGATGGGGAGTTAAAGGTCACACAGACTTGTCTAGATTGATATYAATGACACAAAATCATCAGCATATGTGCAGATTTTAAAGATGCCGGGRAAAAAAAAGCAAGAAGCAGACATGAGCAACTGCTGGACAAGGAAGGCAAATCATACTGAAGGCAGCACAACTGGAAATACAGAATATAACTGTCAGTACACTGTGAAAGGCACATAACCCTTCAGCACAGAGCCCCAGGTGAAATCCCAGACATTTGGGACAGGCATGCCAGTGACACTGCTGGCATACACATAGGCTTTGCACTCACATAGCAGCCCACGGACACGAAAATAACCTGGCTGTGGCTGACTGATAAAAGCTCCTGGACAACCTAYGTTATTGCATAATTCTGCAAAGCTGCATAGGAGGGGTAAATGCTTAGTAAATGTTGGGGACGCTTTATTGGTGAGAAAAAGTTGAAGTGAAACCAAACAGCAGGCTGGGAGCAGTGGAAGCTCTGTGTGAATGGAGAGGTGAGCACTCTGAAAACACCACCAGGCCCTGGGTGTGGGGACAGCGATGTGAGGGTGGAGCAGTTCTGTGCAGCCTTGCAGGTAGCCACTGCCATGACAGTAAGCACCAGCATGGAAGATCAGACTCTGTGACTTCCTTGAGGTCACTGTTCTCTTAAGTGTTCAAAAACTGAGGTGCTCTATCATGAAATCAGGTTAGCTAATAACAAAAGCAGGGAAGAACAATTCTTCCCTTTCCTCAGTCTTTGCCCGCCTGCTCTAACTAGACCATAAGATTTCAGAGCAGACTCCAACTTACTACTTTTGTGTATAGGATCTAGTGCCATGACTCTGCTCTCTAGGCCCCAAACACCAAAGAAATCCAAGAACTTGCCTATCATATAAGCCCATWACTTAGCAGCAAGGACCAAGGGCCTGACTTCACTCCAGATGTTCAAGATGTTTGTTTCTGTGCTGACAAGGGATCCTGATGGGCCCTGAAAGCAGCAGAGCAGCTCTCCACCACTGCTTTGCAGTCCATCCTGCAAAGTCACGTGCTTTTGAGTACACTTACACCTTTTACAACAGCTGCAAAATAGGCAGAATCCAGTGTCCCTCCTGCAGTGCCTAACATAACACAGGTGAGTACCCAGAGAATGTGAGCACTTGCTGAAGACCAGTATGTCTCAGCTCAACCATTATTACAGGTCCACATCACCCCGGGTAAACTCGTATAAAAAAGAACCAGTCCTCCTTAAGTGCAGCTCTTAAATTTCYACCAGATACCTCTGAGTATGAATCCAGATTGTCTCCAGTTTTTGAGGCC